TAAAGTCAATACAACATTTTGTGGTGAATTTATTAAAGCAAAAAATGATCGAGATGTTTGTGACGTTAAATATTTCAATACCAAAAATGTCATCATTGATGTTGGAACAGATATTTTTGATTGGTTCAATGATCATGTACGAGATGAAATTTTGAACAAGCTTTCGGAATTTCAGGAGCGCGATTCGGGCTTTGCATTACGTAGAATACTTTATTTGGAAATTAATATAAATAAAATGGAAATTGGAAACGGGTCATCTTACATTAAATTACCCATTGAAATTTCAAAGAAACGGGCTTGCATCAACATTAAGAATTCTAATGAAGCTTGTTTCTATTGGTCTGTGGTATGTGGTCTCTTTCCTTCCTCTAACCATAAGGAGCTAACATCATCATACCCATATTATAGAGCTGTTTTGAATATGCAAAATCTACCTATCCCAATGCCCCTCAATCAAATTCAAAATTTTGAAAAGTTAAATAATGTTTCGATTAACGTTTACGGTTTGGAACTGAATGTCGCCAATAATAAACAATTTTATGCAGTAGCACCGGTTAGATTAACAAAACAAAAACTAGATAAACACGTCAATTTGCTGATTGTTCAAAACAAATATTATCCAAAAGTAGACGATTATGATGTTGAACAACCAGCAGAGCTACAAGATGAGGAAATTAAGTATCATTATTGCTATATTAGCAACTTGTCTGGACTTGTATCCTCGCAGCTTAGTAAACTTAAAAGTAAGAAATTTATTTGTGATAGGTGTTTGAATTATTTTGTATCGGAACAGCGCCTAATTGAACATGAAAATTTGTGCTCCAGATTAAATGATTACAAGATTACTTTCCCCAAATATGAACACGTTGAATTTCGAAATTTTACTTACAAACAACACACACCTTTTGTCATCTATGCTGATTTCGAAAGCATACTTCAAAATTTAAACAACAGTAAAATTTCGGAAAAAACTCGTAAATATCAGAAACATGTTCCATTTAGTGCTGGATACTACCTCAAATGTGGGTATGATGATTCTCTATCGTATTTCAAAAGTTATCGAGGGGTAGACTGCATGCAATGGTTTGTTGAACAAGTGTCTCAAATGTCAAAATTTATTTATTTCAAATTTAAACATATTGTACCTCTTATTGCTAGTGAAACTATTAGCTTGTCCAATGTGTCGTCGACACATTGTCATATTTGTGAGAAACCTTTCACAAACAGCGATAAGATTGTTCGTGATCATGATCATTTTACGGGGAAATTCCGTAATTTTGCGCACCAATCCTGCAACCTAAACTATCGTAAGCATTTTATAGTTCCAGTAGTTTTCCATAATCTCTCCGGCTACGATATTCATTTCGTAATCCGAGAGCTTGCTAAGCATGGTCGCGTGAGCGTACTACCCTTGAACAAAGAAAAATATATTTCGATCACCTACAGGGAACCTAATAATGGCTGCGTTTCAGATTCATTGATTCACTAAGATTTTTGGGTGCCTCTTTGGACGAACTTGTCTCCACGTTGAACAAAAAGGACTTGCTGATATTGAAAAAAGAATTTTCAGACTTGGAGCCGTCAAAATTTCAACTATTAACTCAGAAAGGTGTCTTTTGTTACGATTATATTAATGATTTTTCAGTATTAAACGAAACTTCTCTACCTTCCATCGATAAATTCTACAACAAGTTAAATGATGAACATTTAAGCGATGAAAAGTTCGCTCACGCCCAAAATGTCTGGCATTTGTTCAAAATTCAAAATTTAGGTGAATATTCTGATCTCTATTTGAAAACTGACATTTTACTTTTGGCCGATGTTTTTGAAAATTTTCGTAAAAACTGTATAGCTACACACAAACTAGATCCAGCGTGGTATCACAGCATGCCTGGTTATACTTGGGACAGCATGCTCCAATTTACGAAATGTCGTTTAGATATTCTACGGGACATTGATCAGATAATGTTTGTGGAGCAGGGAATTCGTGGAGGCATTTCCGTATGCGTGCATCGTTATGCTGAGGCCAATAACAAATATATGGATACATATGATGAGTCAAAAGAATCAAGGTATTTGCTCTATCTCGACATGAATAATTTATATGGAAAAGCAATGACCGAGCCCTTACCCTACGGTGGTTTTGAGTGGGTAGACGGAGACGATAATATTAAAAATTTTGATGTTATGGCAGTGGAAGACGATTCTCCAGAGGGCTACATCCTGGAAGTTGATTTGGAATATCCTAGACACTTACATGATTTACATAAGGATTTACCATTCGCGGCAGAACATCGTAAGCCGCCAAATTCAAAGTTACCGAAATTAATGACCACGCTGTACGACAAGAAAAACTATGTTATACATTATCGAAATTTAAAACAGGCACTGAAACATGGCCTAGTACTGAAGAAAATTCACAAGATTTTAAAATTTAAGCAGTCAATGTGGCTCAAGCCCTATATCGAGCATAACAATAACTTACGGAAACAGAGTAAGAATGACTTTGACAAAAATCTTTTTAAATTGTTCAATAACGCGGTGTTCGGAAAGACTATGGAAAACATACGAAATCATAGGGTTGTGAAATTTGTAAAGACGTGGGAAGGGCGGTATGGTGCGAAAAATTTAATATCTAGTCCAAGATTTCATAGTAGAACCATTTTAGATGATGATTTATTGTTGGTTGAGTTGAAGAAAGCCGAACTATTTTTCAACAAACCATTGTATGAAGGCATGTCGATTTTGGATATTTCGAAAATATTCATGTATTCATTTCACTACGACTACATGTTGTCCAAATTAGATTCAGAAAAATGTACCATTCAATATATGGATACCGACAGCTTCATATATGACATCGAAACCGATGATGTATATGAAGAAGTCATCAAGGCCGACTTGTCCAAATTCGATACATCAGACTACCCTCCAGATAACCCATATAACATACCGCAGGTCAATAAAAAGGTTTTAGGTTTAATGAAAGATGAACTGAATGGTGATATCATGACTCACCAAGTAGGCCTGAGATCCAAAATGTACAGCTTCAAGACCCTTAAGGGAAAAGTTGTGAAAAAATCGAAAGGCGTCAAAAAAAATATAGTCAAATATAAAATTGCATTTGAAGATTACGTTGATTGTTTGAAAAATTTCAAAGAAAGTACCGTAACGCAGAGAACCATCCGGTCTTTTCAACATAATGTGTTCAGCATTGAACAATCAAAAATTGCACTAAGTCCTGCTGACGATAAACGGTTTTTAGTGGCCAATTCCTTCAATACTCTTCCCTGGGGGCATTATAGTCTTGATGTTGGTGACGAATTAAAAGTATAGTAATGTTGAGCATCAATATCGATGGTTGAAAGGCGAAAGGTTATAAGCGACAGTTTTGAAACTTTACAGTAGGGCCACTTAAAGTGTAAAAAAAATACAAAATTTTTTTCATTAGTTTATAATCTATTTTTATTAAATTAAAACCGGTATAATGCAACTTTGGCTTTATTATATATATTAGCAATTCAAAACATGAAAAAGTACAATTCATGACAAAGCTACCGTCGCTTAAGCAATTTGGCGATCAAATTACATTGTGGTAAAAGGTCTTAACCACTAAATCATTCAATCAAATCAGTAAGTTGAAACGTTTTAAGCACCCTTACATTGATCACTGGTTATCACTCAAAACGTTTTAACCTCCTATCATTGAACGTAACCATTCGGACGAAACACTTCAACCATTTTGGCATTAATTATTGGTTATCAGCAGAAACGTTTCAAACCCCAGTTTTGATTGTAGGTTCGAAGGTTAAATAATTTAACCGCCAAACTACTAAATAACAGTAATGGTGGATAACTTAAATTTTTTTTTTTTTCTGTGAATCTATAAGGTAGGTAGGTAATGTAAATAAATCGAAACTTTATAAAAATAACAACTTTATTCTCCAATGACATCAAGCTTGTATTCAAATTATAAATAATATCACGCCATCAAGCCTTTAAAATAAAAAATAAATTCCTTGGAATAATCTTAAAATCTAAGGAGCGTAATTTCTAGAGTAAAGTAACAATCATCTTCAAATAAAATTTCCATGAAATACAAGTTATCAAAAATAATTTACTCGAATTCGTCTTCTATATCGGTATCGGGAAGAGTGTCTTACATATTCGTGATGAAAAATTGGTGGTATAACATTATTTTTGCATAGTTTATGAAGATCTTCGTATTTTTGTTTGGAAATTGCTAAAGGTGTTTTGTAGCAACTGGTAAGAACACCTTTTACCCTCGTTTGAACTTCGATATCAAAACTAGGAGCTTTATCATCCATTGAATTTTTTATTTTAATTTTATGTGAGTCTTTTTTTTTGAATGTACAGATACGAATTTTACTGATTTTGCCAGTTAGGTTTCCTTTAAAATACTTCTCACCAAAAACGTCATATTTGTTAAAATCTTTGAAACTCAGGTACTCAACATTATAAGGCCTTGGATCTTGTCTTGCCGTCGTAAAAACAGTGAACCATTGAGAAGGAGCCCAAATAATGGAATGTTTCGTATTTCGCTCGATTATGGCATGCACAGAATCTACAGGCATGTATGTATGCCCCGTGAGTAGAAAATTAATCTGGATAGTTTCGATAAATTTACAATTTTGTAGAGTGGCATGGATCATAGATAGAATTGTTTTGTTGCGATTCTGTCCAGGGCAGCAGTCGCAATACAAAGCAAATTTCTAACAGACTCGCGTTTATCAATCATGTTTATATATCGGTTTAAAATAGTGCCAACCTCATTTGCTCCACGTTTTCCGTTGACTTCATCCCAGTAATAGCAAAAAACATCACGAGTACCACTCTCATAAAAGGTAAGGTTAAATACGGAAATCTTTCTCGAATAGTATAGAAGCATACTCTCGCCATGAGGTGTGTTTAAAACCTTTTGTAAGTCAAAACTGACGCATAAGGTGGTGGGATCCGTTTTATGAATATTTTGATGCATTTTAAAACGATTGATTATAGGAATGATTTTTCTCTGTTTCATGATCTTGTTTAGCCTTCTGCATATTCTCATCAGCCTTGTCTGTCCTTTCGAACCGAATACATTGTAAACATTTGTCTTTTTTGGGCACGTGAAACCCAATGTTGAAATTTTTGTTGAAGATATTTCGAAATACCCTTTCTCCCACTACATCAATTCCCTGCTCAATGTGATTCTTTTTGTATACCTGGTACAAATGGGATAGATTTTTAAGCTCTTGTGGAAGATATAAACGGTTTGAATCCTTTCGACTGTAATGCGATGGTACAGCTGGTAGACTTTTTATAAAATTCATTACTTGCAATATAGGTCCTTCTTTCGTTTTGTTTGGTGGTATACTTTTGCCGCGTAAATCTTCTTGAGCAGAACCAAATGAAGCGTTGCTTACAGTATAATAGATAAACTTTTGAGAAACATCCAATGTATTACATAAAAACTGGAGGCAGATGGATCGTTTGCCTTCTCCTTCATTTATAAAGTATTTGAAAGTAAACTGGCGCTTCTCAGACTCTGTAGATCTTTTTCTCTTAACCATTGATTTTTGTGACATGGCAACAATCCAATCTTTACGACGATCCACAGAAAGGTTCCAGAAATGATCAAAAATGAGTTTTCTCCTCTCATCAGATATATTTTCACAGTTATTTCCACATTTTTTACCTGAACAGGGATTTGGCTTTATTTGTTTTGCTGGTACCACAGTTCCATCGGATTTAACATATTCTTGGCCGGATTGTTTAGCCTTTTTCTTTAGTGCTCTTTTATTTGGTTTCTTGGTAATTTTACCTAATTCTCCGACTATATTCTTATCTTCTTCTTCTGCATCATTATTATTTTTTTTTTCTTTGTTAATATTTTTTTTTTGTTTCCCTTTGAAATTTTGATTTACCTCATCCTCGGACGACGAACTTAGCTCTTCTTCCCATACATCAGAATCATTGTCAGTGAAAAGTACTTCGTCATCAGATAAATAGTCCAAATAAGCAACACTCTTTTGTTTAACTCTGCGTTTTGGTCTTTTATTACCAGCAGAAGTTGACGGAAGAATCAAATTCTCTTTTCCAGCGCCTTCTTCTAAAATGCCTATTTCAGATACATTTGAATCGTCGTTTAGCGCTAAAGATTCTTTGGGAGACTGACCATCATTAGTGATGTTGTATGGTTCCATCTCATGATATATAGGTGTTTCAGCGGTATCAATTTGGTTTAATCCTTCTATTGCGCTTACTGCTGGCGATATATCATAAGCAGGAAAGTCTTCTTGAGCAGTATTTATAGTGATATCGTCTGCATTAGACTGAGTTACTACAATATTCGAATTCGTCACTTCTGCCTTACGAGGAGAAACTTCAGGAAACATTTCTGTAATGGAAAATTGGACTTCACACTCAGAAGAGGGTTCTTCTTGACAAGAAATCATCATAGAATCATTGGATAAACAACCAGTGTCTATTTCTTCATTTTTTTCCTGAAAACGAAGTTGAAACTAATTAAATCTAACAGGTTACACAATGGTTTATTGAACTTTATGAGTTAATTAATACTTCATACCTCAACACTGTCCATTCCATCTTGTTGTAGAGTTAACAATTCACTTCTATCAGTTGAAACACCTAAATGTTCAGCTGGATTACTCTGGAAGAAAAGTTGAATTTTAAAACGGGTTTTTTCATGCAATATGATACTAAGGGACTATTTCTTATTGCTGAATCTTTTTACCTCGGCATCTTTAATGAGGGATAATAAATTTTTACGGGCCCTCTTTCTACTTCCTTCGACTTTCTCGGAGCGAAGCGCTAAATTTAAGATAGTTCTTGCTCTACTGTCGTTCTCCATTAGAACCTAGAATAAATTATAAGGAAGTTTAATATCTATCAACCCTTTCATCGACTCATGAAATATAAATTATCCGAAAGCCTGATATTCTACACATAATCAAACAATACCAAGCTTACAACAACATTGTGCCAATAGGTACTTACCGAATGATAATAAATATTCCGTGAACACAAGCTGGATATTCACTATCCATACAATCAATATCTGCTGGTGTTGTCATTTTAAATTACCGTACAATACTTATTTTTATGATTATGACAGGTTATGTGAATGAGAAGGACTACTTTCTTTGCAAACTTGATACTTCAAACTCAGTATTACAAATGAGTTGCAAATCGTTCAAATCTCCTTTTAAACTAGATCTTTATCCCTGTCATCCCAGCTATTATGAGATTTTTCAAAGCCCAACCATTTTACATACATTTTATTTCCTTTCTTTCGTAATACTTGTTCTATAAGAAACACATCAGGTTGTTTTGTTTTCTGTAGTTCTTCTTCATAAAAACCACCACTTATAGGCCGACCTTGCAAGTCCTCTAACAAATTAATTGTTGGATTTGTAATTCTCACTTTAGCTATGTGGAACAATTCCGTAGTCCAGTTTGGGGTATATCCTTTCTGAAAAACATGCTTGAACTTGCTTATGCGGACTACGTCACCGACCTTGAATTTCTGTTTTCCAGCTACCTTAATATGACTATAAACAGTATTAAATAGTGTTTTTTCATTATTTTTAGTAACTTTGCTTGGTTTCATTTTAATCGTGCTATGTTTGTGGTCATTATATGCATCGATAACAGGGTTCAATAAATCGATCCATTTATGGTTTCCGTTTAATGTAAATTGCTTAAACAACTTTTCTTTAATGGTTCGAATTACTCGCTCTGCAATAGATGCTTTTAGAGGACTAAACGAACTATAATGATGTATTCCATGTTTCTTCATTAGACTCGAAAATTGAATAATATAGTATTCCTTTCCATTATCCGAAATAAGTTTCTTGGGTATTCTTCCAGAAATTTTCAAAATGCTCTCCATAGCTTTAGCGACATCTTGCGCTGATTTCGATTTTACAGCTCTAGTCCACAGAAATTTAGAAAAACAATCGATAACAACCAATATGTACTTGAATCCCTTGTTTTCTCGAGCATACTGATCAAGCTGAGCCAAGTCGGTGGCAAAAGTATCATCCAGACCATACTGTATAAATCTTCTACGATTAAACTTTTTACGTGCTGGCTTATGTAGTTCTTCAACCACCCATTCCCTAGCTTTTGTAATAGTTTTCATTTTTTCGTTGTGACTCACAGTACATAAATGTTAAGAGATCTAAACTTGAAAGTGGCTAACCCTATAATTATTCAAGATAACACATGTAGAGTTTATTAAACTCAATCACACCCAATTCAGCCAGTTCCTCTAAAATACTCATAATCTCATTGATATTATTGGTATTTCCAGCTTTTTGTGATGCATCCAATTTAACAAGTCTATCAATTAATTCGTTGACGTCATCGTAATAAACATATTGTTTTCGTTTCTCATTATATTCTAATAATAAAGCACTTCCGGATTTATTTTGAGATCTTGTAGATGGATTTCGGCCAGATGGCGAGGCACTGTTACTTGATTTAAGCCTTTTTGCTTCAGATGATGTTGAGACCAAAGGTTTAACAAATTGTCTATATTTTGAAGATGTGGACCCTTTAACCTGTTTGGATGGATCAAAATCTCTTCGATGAACATTGGTCCTGTTTAGAATATCCGTAAACTGCAACTTATCATCCTTCGTCTGATAGATCGGCTTTTTCAGAAATAAAAGATCATATAAGCCCTGCGTTCCTTTATAAGATTCACCCCCGACTTTAATATCTCCATTCGGGAGAAAGTTGACTTTTTGTGATCCCATAGACCAATCATCGGTTTTCATATCATGTTTCAAGCCATAAGAATGGTCTATTTCATCCGATTGTTTATAGTATCTATCTACATACTCTTGTGCTACTTTGGGATACTGATCTAAAAATTCTTCATACGCTCCTGATCTATCGTGAATTGATTTCTGCAGATCTTCTTTCAAATGTTGTAAGGGTTCATAAAAGACATCCTCAGCGCCATCATCATCATCATCATCATCATCATCATCACTTTTTAAATTCTTACTCGTTTGAGCAATAATCTCTGCTGGTTGGAACTCTACATTTCTAGGAAGTTTCGGTTCAGATTCAAAATACGTTTTAGGAGCTTCGAGCTTAACTTTTTCATGTTTAACTTGGACTTTTCTGCCAACCATTTTCTCAACAAACTCTCTTAGAGGTTCAGTTATAGGGTTTATTATCCTATCAAGTGCCTCATCTTCCTCTTTTCTCTCCAGCTTTAAAGCCAAATACTTTTTTCTTATAGATCTAGCAGCGTTCAGTATTTTCTTCTTGATATTCCTATCATTTTCGCTTGGAACCGAAGCCATGATTTCCAACCAGATTGACTGTTTTACACTGTCTTTTATACTGCTACACAGATCAGGAGACAGGTCTGTATACAGCTATATACAGGTCCGTATACCGCTATACAGGTCTATAGACAGCTTTACAGGTCAGCAGACAGCTTTTTAGATAGCTATACAGGTCCGGAGACAGCTTTTTAGACAGCTATACAGGTCTAGAGACAGCTTTGCAGGTCAGCAGACAGATTTTTAGACATCTATACAGGTCCGGAGACAGCTTTTTAGACAGCTATACAGGTCAGGAGAGAGCTTTTTAGGCAGCTATACAGGTCCGGAGACAGCTTTTTAGACAGCTATACAGGTCAGGAGACAGCTTTTAGACAGCTATGCAGGGTAGGAGACAGCTTTTAGACAGCTACACTGGTTCAGAGACAGCTATGGTACAGCTATTGCAGAGATCTGTACGCAGCGACGTCTTAAGGAATACTGAGGAGAATTTGTCTTCTGTGGAGATATATAGGTGTTGAACTGACTTCGTTATCTACCGCTCGTGATATCATCATCTTTAACAATGACTAAAAAACCATATTTATCTTTCCAACATTCAGAACAAATAGTTTTAAACGTATTTAAAGACATATCTGTGTTAACGTGATCGTCGTACACATGTTTCAGGTTTGTGTCATCCTGCTTAAATACTATAATCATATTTGCATTATCACGAATCATTGCTTCGGTGTTTTGAATACGTCTGACAAAGATAAAAACAGTCAATAGCATTGTGGCGGCCCATACAAAAATAGTTTCTTATCTTGTCTTGCTTCTCACAAGCCACATCATCCAATATAAACACCGAATCTGACTCAGCTGTTTGCGGATCTAAAACAGTTTCATTATCACTGTATCCATAAAAGTTTATACCAGCAACACGGTTGAGCACCGCTTTCAGAAACTTATACTTCTCTTGATCCAATGACTTGGAATAAACATATACATTTCGGAATCTAGGTCCATTCTCATCGGTTAACATACTAAGCATAACATTTGTTTTCCCTGAATTACTTGGCCCGCATATTATTGCTCTAATCGTGTTTGGTAAAAGTTCTCCATATCTCTTTCTAACACTAGTGGACTTATTAATGTCAAAGTTATCGATCTTCCTGTTGATTTTCTGCTTAATAGTAGATATACAAAGCCGGTTCCCGAGCGGAAGTGACCTGTCATTCGTCGTGGGGCCCGCGCCCGTCATCAGAGAAGTCCCAAATTGAAGGGGCCTAACCCAGGTGAGCCTGTGCCCCATTCCAGGGCCCCATTTTTTCGGTGGGCCCCATTTATCGTCAAGTGGAGGGGCCTAACCCAAGTGACGTCATCAAAGGGGCCACATGCTTGTCCTCGCTGCTAGACCCGGGGCCCCATTTACATGAACTAGAACTCATAACCTGAAATTATGGGCCCCATTTCAGTGACAGGGCCCCATTTTTCGGTGAGCCCCAATTTTTCGACAAGTGGAGAGGCCTAACCCAAGTGACATCTTCAAAGGGGCCATACGTGCTTGCCCCCGCTCCTAGACCCGCACAGAGGGCCCCCCATTTACATGAACTCATAACCTAAAATTATGGGCCCCATTTCAGTGACGACGACAAGTTGACAGGTGCGACGTTGCCAAAACTAATACTTGAATTCGCCGCGACGTTGCCTATGAGGAAATTGTCTAAATCTAGGGAAAATGCAATGGAGGGCCTCCCCAAATAAGGTTATGAAAACAGGGCCCCGCAATTTGTTCATCATTCGTCGTGGTCGCATGGAACTCGTACCTGGTACCTCGTACCTGGTACCTCGTACCTGGTACCCCGTTACTTGTAACAAGATACACCGTACTGGGCCCCCTTTTTTCGTCGTCGTCGTCGGCCCCATTTTTCTAAACTAAAATATGGTCACATAAAAGACAACATCATCATCATTGAAAAAATAGTGCTCCAATTTGGGCCCCATTTTTCACGGACTTGTAACGATTTAATTGGGGGGGGGGCCCCAAATATTATTTTTAAAATAATTATAATTTCTACCGTTCTCATAAACAACAACAAGAAGAGCAAGTTGTGTGCGAACTTGCTTAATCCTGCTTATCACACGGAAGCCGCATTTCTTGCGACGATAACGAAACGCAGCTGGCTGGCCTGGTAGTTGTTATTCATTTTCAAATTTTAGTTAGATTTTAACGTCCCTAGGTGACACAACGAACGTTTTTCTTCAGTGCTCATCCAGATCGAATTTTTCAACGAAAACTTAATTCAAAATTGGGCGTTACCTCAGTTATAATTGATTGTGTGTATTTAGTGCTAAAAACTATGTAAGTAATTTTTTTCATTATTCTTAAAGACCCTGATAATAATACGTTGTTCTATTTTTAGTTTAATAATAGAATCAAAATTTAATCACTTTGAGGTTTGAGCTCTTGAAACGTGTCTTTGAAATTGTAAGTATATTATTTTTATTATATAGCATACAGTACATTTTTTCTCTTTTTTAGATCTATTTTCAGTGCTCATCCAGATCGAATTTTTTCAACGAAAACCTAATTCAAAATTGGGCGTCGTCACATTTATAATTGATTGTGTGTATTTAGTGTTAAAACTATGTAAGTAATTTTTTCATTATTCTCAAAGACCCTGATAATAATACATTATTCTATTTTTAGTTTAATAATAGAATCAAAATTTGGTCACTTTGAGGTTTGGGCTCTTGAAACGTGTCTTTGAATTTTGAAATTGTAAGTATATTATTTTCAGTTTATAACATTTATTACATTTTTATATTGTTAATTAGACACACCTTCGAGACAGCTCAACAACAGCTCAACAACAGCTCAAAGACACCTCAACAACAACAACAACAACTCCAATACAGCTCAACAAGAGCTCATCAACAACAACAACAACTCCAATACAGCTCAACAACAGCTCATCAACAACAACAACAACAACAATGGCTGATGAACATTTTAAACAAATTCTAAATGTAAGTGCTGAAATTATTGCTGTTTTTGAAAAAGCTTATGAGGAAATTGTCCGAGATTCAAATGATGCGGAAAAACGTATCTGGATTAAACATGTAAATACTTCAATTAGGCAAATTCTTAAATTCAATGCGAAAAATGTTTTATTACCAATAGAAACTCAAAGAAAATTACAAACTCAATTAGGTCATTTGAAAAAAATTCGTATTTTGATTAAGAAAGAATTAGTTAGGGAACCTTTTAAAGCGGGTGCAGGTAATGCATTGCTACCGAAAAAACGTAGTTTGAGAATTAAATGGGAGGATGTCCAGACCGCTTTTAAAAGTAGGATGAGGACGGGAATAATCATAAATTTAGTTCACAAAGATGTTTTAGAATTTTTCAAAGATGCTTTTTTATGTTCAAAAATAGAATCGTAAACGTACTCAAGTCCCATCCTATGTTAAAAGTGAACTGCACCTTTTGTGGCGAATTCATAATCAAAAAACGGGATGAAGAGATAACTGAATTCAAATATTTTTCAACTAGAAACGATATACTTGATGCCAGTACAAATTTGGCTACTTATTTCAATCAGTACATCAGAGATCAAATACTTTCGGACCTAGAAGAATTTCAAGAGCGGGATAGTGGGTGGGCATTACGCAAAATAGTATATCTTGAAATAAATATCAATAAATTTGAAATTGGGAATGGTGCGGGCGGCTCATCTTACATTAGGCTACCTCAGGCAATTACAAATAAAAATGCTTGTGTAAATGTTAAAAACTACGATGACGATGCATGTTTTTTTCTGGGCAATCATATCGGCCCTTTATCCAACAAAAATGAATCCAGATCGTGTTAGCTCCTATCCACAATACAAGACCAAATTAAAAACAACTGGTTTAGAATTACCAATGACCCTAGATCAAATAACTAAATTTGAAAAATTGAATAGTCATTTGAATATTTCCGTCAACGTTTTCGTTCTAGAATTGGTTGGGAAGTCATATAATACTGTACCAGCCAGATTAACTAAAACAAAATTGGAAAATCATATAAATTTACTTTTAATTCAAGATAAATATTTTCAAAAAATTGATGATTATGAACTTGTTGTGGAGGAGGACGAAAAAGTTGACGTAAAATTCCATTTTTGTTACATTAAAAACTTATCTAGGCTTGTATCTTCACAGGCAAGTAAAAATGATCATAAAAAATTTATTTGTGACAGGTGTCTCAACTATTTTTTGAGTAAAGTAAAATTACAGGAACATAATGTATTGTGCGAGAGGAAAAATAATTGTAAAATTTCATTTCCAAATTTCGAATCCGTTCGCTTCAAAAATCATGTCTATAAACAAGAAGCTCCTTTCATTATTTACGCCGATTTTGAGTCTCTTTTAGAGAATGTTAGTGAAAATGTCGAACCTGAAATAAAAACTATTCGTTATTAACATCATAAGGCTTTCAGTGCAGGCTATTATGTTAAATGTAGCTATGATAACTCATTGTCATTCTTCAAAAGTTATAGAGGGCAAGATTGTATGAGCTGGTTCACTGGTGAAATGGCTAACGTAGCGCAGATGGTTGAATCAAAAATTAAAAATATAGTCCCCATTTCCACACATCCAAATCGTGCACAAGCAAAAGCATGCCACATTTGTGAGAAACCCTTCACTGCAAAGGACTTTAAGGATGGGAAAATTGTAAATGACCATGATCATTTTACAGGTGAATCCAGAGGATTTGCCTGTAAAATTTGCAATTTGCAATTTCGTAAATTATTCATAGTTCCTCTGGTCTTTCACAATCTCTCAGGCTACGATAGTCATTTCATAATCAGGGAAATCAGTAAAATAGGGAAAGTGAGTCTGTTACCTATCAATAAAGAAAAATACATATCATTTACACTTAACGATTCTGTTGATACCCACATTAAAATTCGATTCATCGATTCACTCAGATTTTTGAGTGCATCGCTGGACGAATTAGCCTCAACTTTAAATATTAACGATTTGAAAAT